CAGCCCCCTGCTCTCACCCAGGCCACAGCACCCTCCACTGCCTGGGGGCACCCCTCTGCCAGGCCAGCTCTGGATGCGTGCTCCAGCTCCATCTCCCACCCTTTTCCAAGGGCAGTATCCCCTCGGATATCCCACTCCACAGCACCCTCCATTGCCTGGGGGCATCCCTCTGCCAGGCTGGCTCTGGACATGCACTCCAGCTCCAGCTCCCACCCTTTTCCCAGGGCAGTATCCCACTCCAGCCCTGTGCCCAAGAGCACATGCCAGCCCTGCGTGCCAGGCAGGCTGCATGGCCGGTGGGTGCAGGCTCTGCCCGCAGCGCTCCTACCTGTGACCTGGAGCTGCTGCCGCAGAAGCAGCAGCCGATGCGCGTCCTCCTCGGCCTCCAGCACGTGGGCGTCGAAGGGCAGCTCGTTGGTGCCCAGCAGCCGGGGGCTGTACTTCCCCGCATCGTAGTCATCTAGGCTCTGCTGGATCAGGTCCTCCTCCATCAGCACGGCTTCCCCCTCTGCCTCTCCTTTGCCCTCTCCGTCCTGCTCAGCCTCCGGCTCCGAGGACGGCCCTGGCTGTACCACCATGCTCTCCTCTGGATCCAGCCTGCAAGGAAGAGAGAAGAGAGAACTGGGACGGGGATGGTACCCTTGTTCTCTGCCTGCCTCACGTCTGTCTGTGGAAGGACAGGAGCACGAGGCCGCGATTTCTGTCCCAGGTATCCCACGGGAGAGGCCCAGAGGGCTGCGCTCCCCCATGTCAGGGCTGCGTACCTGTCGCTGGGGGAGGCTGGCTCCCGCTTGATGGTGGGAAGGTTCGCTCTCCACGCCCTGCTCCTGCTTCAACTTGTACAGCTTCTGGCGCAGCACATCCTGGTGCCGCTCCCGCAGCCTGTGAAAAGACGAGCCGTCAAGTCCCACCCAGCAGAACCACTCCATGCCCACACTGCCCAGAGCTGTGACACCCACTGAAATCTGCTGGGTTTTGTACAGTTTTGGGCTGAATAACCCTCCAGGTCGGTTCCCTCTTGGAGACCTCACTGTAAGCATCACTGATGGAGAAGTGACTGAGCGTCCAGCCCTCCTCCCCTCTTGGGAGGACCAACCATCATGGAAAAGGAATAAAACCCCTCCACCAACGACTTGGGGTTTGTGCCTCCCCAACTCTGCTCACGGTGGGGTCTGCGCTGCCCATTTCCACAGCCCTCCCCAGGGGACAGTCCCTGCTCTCACCTGGCCCGAGCCATATAAGCCTTCAGCTGCTGCAGCAGGCTCTCCCAGTACCCGATGTCAAGGTTGGGTCCTCCTGCACGGATCTTGCTCTCGATGCCCTGGTACAGCACTTGCAGCTGGTTGTACGTCTTCCCCTTGAACACGGACTGCACGTCCGAGCTGACGGAGGCGTTGACGCCATCCCGGCGCTCCCCTGAACGGACAGGCCAGGGTGGTCAGTCATGAGCCTGCCTCCACCCAGGCTCTCCTGGGCTGCACCCAACAGCAGGAGATGGTTGCCAGATCCGCAACCTCCGTTCAAAGTTTCCAGAGAACCTCTTTTTTGCCTGAGCGCACGCAGCAGACCCTACCGCCCTGCTCCACCCACCGCTCAGGCTCCCCTTGACTCCCACACCAGGCTCTGCCCTCCCGCTTACCCGGCCCTCCTTTCCCAGAGGCCTCCAGTTTGCGGAGCTTGGCTATCTCATCCTCCGTGATGATGGTCATGTCCCTCCAGAAGTCCACGTTCTTCCCTTGCTCCAGCTCCATGTAAACCTGCAGGAAGGATACAAGCAGGACATCAGGCACTTGCTCCACACCATGGGCAGGGAAGCCTTGAGCTGCCGCCCCTCCGCCAGCCCTGGCACAAGGGTGGCAGAGCAGGCACCTGGATGTCTTCCACCAGATCCTCCATGTCGGAGACAGTCAGGCCGTTCAGGAAGGTGTAGGGTTCGTGCATCTCCACGGCCAGGTCATCATCCTCCGCACTGATGTACTTGGCCAGAAGGTCAATGGGTTTTGCCCTCCCATCCCGAATCCGGATCTTAGACCTGGGTGAGAGGAGAGGGACATCGAGCGGTGCCTGCCATCCTCTGCTCCCTGGCACAGCCATCCCTGCGGAGCCACACACCTACCGCAGCTTGGCCTGCTGCAGGTGGAAGTTGTCCTCCTGCTCCTCCCAGGTTTTGAAGTGCTCTGCCTCTTTCTCCCGCTGCAGCATCTCCAGCTCCTGCTCACGCATCGCCTTCTCCCGCTCCCGCTCCAGGCGCAGCTGCTTCACCTGCCCAGGGCGGAGGGAGACATGAGGCCGCTGCGGATGGGGCACCCACGCAGGACGCTCGCTCCAGGATGCAGCCGTAACCCACTGAGCTGCCTCAGCTCCTGCCACCAGACTGAGGCTTCCTGAGGGGGTGGAGCCAGGGTGGGCTGGTGGGGCCAGGATGGTTGTTGCTCACTGCCAGCCCTTTGGAGGACAGGAGACAGAGGCACAACCGAGTGCCTCAGCCCTGTGACCTGGTGCTCATCCTCCTCAGCAACTCCTGAGCTGGACTCGAGCCCAAGAGAAAAGTCTTCTCACCTTGGAATAGCAGGAGTCAGGATACTGTGGCCTCCCCAGTCCTGCATCCTACAGCCTATGGCACCCCCAGAGAGAAGAAGAAGGGGACTGGTAGGTGAGTGACTGGGAGAACTGGGCTGTCCATGGGGTTCTCTGTCAGATAGTGGGAGGAAAGGGACATCAGAGCCTACCTTCTGTAGCTCCAGGCGATTGTCCTCCTGGATTCGCTTGTTCCTCTCCTTCAGGTCCTTCTCATCCAGGTGGCTGATCCCTTTCTTTTCCAGTGCCTGAAACAGAGGGGCCAAGGGAATCCATGAAACCCAGCAACCTCTATAGCCCCTCACTGGCCAGCGATTGCCACCACATCCACCCGCTTCCACTGCTCCAGTGAGCTCTGATCCTGTCGAGGGTCCCCACATCCCTCAAATCCTACTCCTGAAGGCCCTCAGCAAAACCCGGGCTCAGCCCAGGGAGGCCACCCAACCTGGTGAGCTCTAACACACCAGTAAACAGTGCCCAGCACTCAGCCTGCAGCTCCCAGCAGGTCTGGGTCCCTCTCCTGCCCCCTGTCCCACCTCCTCATCCCACACCCCCAGCTACAGACCCTGGTCTTCAGGAGAAAGGGGGTAAAACCCCACTGAGCTTGTCAGAATCACCCAAACGCTGTCCTAGACGAGCGCTCTGCTCTCACGTAGCTGCTTTTCGTGTTTCAGAGGTTCCCACCTCCAGCAAAGGTCGTCCCCCCGACACCCCACTGCTCCTCTGTCCTGTCTTGTGGCACCACCTCCTTCCAGCAGCCTCCTACGACATGTGGGTGCGGAGGAGAGCTCACCTTGCTCCAGATGAAGGTGCCCAGCAGGTTGTTGTCCCCAAAGGGATTGTCGGTGTTGGTATAACCCATGTACTCCTCTCCCCACCCCATCTTCTCCCGCTTCTTCCTCTCCTTGGCCTCCTTCTTGGCCAGCCGGCGAGCCCGTTTCTCCTCAGGCGTCTCCAAGGCTTTCATGAGCGCAGCCTGCTTCTTCTTCTCCTCCTTCAGCCTCAAGCGCT